AGGAGATCTATGCTTTTATATAAACTTCTAATTCGTTACGTTTCAAAGCATTACTTGTATTATGATAATCATGAACTTAATCCATCATGAATATTTCACAGTTGACACATCATATACTCAACTTTACCGTCATTTATAGATTTGGTATTTGTACTGCGAGGGAGTCTGCATTGGAAAAAAACAACAACATACAATATATATATGTCAGTAATTGACGAGAACTTGCAATGTTTACCAGTAATTGAAGGGAACGTACAATGTATACCAGTAACAGGAGATAACGTACAATGTATACCAGTAATTGGTGAGAACACGCAATGTATATCAGTAAGTGGAGAGAACAACATAATGTATACCAGTAATTGGAGAGAACACATAATGTATATCAATAATTGGAGAGAATATACAAGCATATCAGTAATTGGAGAGAACACATAATGTATATCAATAATTGGAGAGAATATACAAGCATATCAGTAATTGGAGAGAACACATAATGTATATCAATAATTGGAGAGAATATACAAGCATATCAGTAATTGGAGTATCTTAGCACGTTTATGTTATATTTATTTTTTCTGGAGTTTAACCCAAGGTTTTTAAATTTTTCCGAATTACCCCCAAAATATCTCCTACGTCCCAGAAATAAAGAGGAGGACAGTTTTTACATATATATATACGATAATGATTAAATCCTATATGAGACAGGAGCTCACAAAGAGTTATTTTCAAGCAAAGTTGTATTAAAAACGTAAGTAAATCAAATTTCGCACGTTTGATAGCTTATAAGTTATGAACTCTCTTAGTCTCAAAGAATGCGAATGATTTGCCTTAAATCAGTCTCGTTTCTTCCATTCAGAAGCGTGAGTTATTTAATGGATTTTGGTCCGTTCTAAAAACCAGACTACCATTTTTATTAACGGTAATCCCTATAGGTTTCATTTTTGTTTTGTATATTGATCTATATACATTTTATCTGTTTGTTCTATATCACTGACCTTATAAGCTTTGAATTCTGATATGACTTTTGATCAAAGTTATTAATAATCACGAACGCCGTTAGTCTAGAGCTGTTAGTACCTAAATTCAAAAGGAACCCTTCGTAAAAATTCACCTACCATAAGATAATCCTATATGAATAAGTGGATCTGAATATAATGCAACATAGATTTTTTTCACTCATCTCATAGCAAGTAACATAATAAGTGATGTTAAAACTAAAAAAAAAAATGAACTGTTGCAAAAGCCCCTGTTACTTTCTCCCGAAAAGGTGAGATATCGCAGTAAAAAATCAGTGAATAGTGGAGCATGAACATCGTGTAATAGTCAAGAGAAATGTTAGTATCATAGAAGCCCCGAAAATAACTACATACGAGGATTGTTGTACTACACTACTGCTAAACTGTTGTTGTTGTTATTAGTTATCAAAACTTTTTATTAAAAAGGCTGTGTTCATACTATAATCGTATGTTTTCATTGCATATGTATATACTTTTTCCTATTTTAGTTTGTTTTTAAATAAATATTAAATTTTAGTTTTTACTTATTACTTATCACACTGTTCCCAAAACATGTTTGTTTAAGAACTACCCCAGGCAAGAAACTGTGTATTTAAAAAAACTATTAAATTAGTAATTCAAATAATGTAGATATCACAAGATTGACTTTTCTAACGGACTGCCCCTGCCTTGTTTCATGAGGTACGAAGTGTAGATTTTTATGAAGAAACCCTAAGCACAGAAACCTAAATGTGGTCCCACTCAAACTCAGCACTACGACTTCTTTATCATGTAAATATATATATATATAAAGTGTGAAGCAGTATAAACGGAACAATAGACTGTTGTTTACAATATATTTTTGACTCAGTTTGTGCTACCAGTTTCTATATTTAATTAAAATAAAAAGAATGGTTCGTGTACACACATACACATACCGTAAGTACAATAGCAATCCACGATTTGTGTAGAAACATACGTTGTAAGTGCAAAGATATGTTTGTTTGTTTGCTTTTTATTTTGTGCAAATCTACTCGAGAACTATCTGCGCTAGCCGTTCCTAATTTTATAGTGATAGACTAGAGGAAAGGCAGTTAGTAAACACTGCATCAACTCTTGGGCTACTCTTTTACTAACGAATACAGGGATTGATCGTTACATTATAACGCTCCCACGGCTGAAAGGACGAGCATGTTTGCGAGTCAAGCGGCCTAACCACGAGGCCATACCAGGCCAAATGTAAAGAAATCGATGGTTTATGTACAAACACACATACATCGTTTGTCGAATACGCTTCTAGTAACTGCGTTGAAGTACACCTTACTGCGGAACACTTTTTATGATTTTATGCTTCTTAGGTGTATATATATATATTGTTGTTTCTTTGATTTGCAGGTCAAACAGATGCAACAACTACTAAAAGAGCTCAGTTTTTTTCACGTGCACTTTTGCTGTTACTTATGGTATAAATGCTACCAAGGTTAATGTTAGATCAAGAAATACGAGAGCATTTCTCCCATTATGAAATATCAACATGAAAGCCTCAGATCATGTAATTAAAACCTCGAATTATACGTTCTCTATTCTTGCATATAGTAGGTTCAAACACACAGACACAAACGTGGTAATGGTGGTTTATTCTATCTCTAATTGGAAATACATACACTTAATGATAGTTAGTGAGTAGTATGCATACTGTTTGGTGTGTTTTGTACTTATTTTTCTATACCGATAGCTAGTGAGTAGTATGCATACTGTTTGGTGTGTTTTGTACGTATTTTTCTATACCGAGCAACGAAGCTTAGAGTATTAATCGGTAATGTACAAAGGTGTGTTAGAGTATTAATCGGTAATGTACAAAGGTGTGTTAGAGTATTAATCGGTAATTTACAAAGGTGTGCTAGAGTATTAATCGGTAATGTACAAAGGCGTGTTAGAGTATTAATCGTAATGTACAAAGGTGTGTCATAACACCCACACTTTCTGAAAACATGAAGCAGATCTGTTTTTCGTAATTTCTTATCCACTCTTATTCTATGGCAGTTTTTCACCTTTTGAACCTGATCTTTTTATTTTGCCTTTTTTTATCTTTATCATTCTTTCATTTGGTAGTTTTACATCATTTGACATTTCAAAAATATTGTATTTTGATTGGTCTGGGAAAGTGTACTGGCATTCTCGTACTACAGTTTACTACTCACCAGTTACTCGTAAAAAACATTTTATCAATTATCACATCTATCAGCTGTTATTAGAAGACCACTTCTGATAAAACAGCATGTTTAGAAACGCTCTGTCTCAAACTTTACCATACTTGCTTAAATCTAAAGAGGATGGTTTATTCTTTAAACTTTGATATCCAAGTTTAAGTCCAGTAAGGCTAGATTGTTCTTTAAATATTAATATGCCAATTTAAATCTGGTAAGACTAGCGTGTTATTTAAATATTAATATAGCTTTAATATACAAGTTTATGTTTAAATCAAACTTAAAATAATAACATGTTAGTTCGACCTTAGATTTTGGAACAATCACCTTCAAGTGTTATAAACTTTTTATATGAAACATCAAACATAAACAACTAGTTCATTTAACCATAAAATATGTTATAAATTATATGCTTTAGTCGAAATTAAAGGTATTGGAATAACATACAAAAATTAAACTATACAATCGCTTGGGTTAATGTAAGTTTTACTAGTTGTCGGGAATAATTCTTAGCGTGTATTTTCCAAGTTTCATTTATTTAACTTGTAAAAGGCCATACAATTATATATAATGTGAACATCATTACATAAACTTAATTATATCTCATATAGAAATAGTTTTGTAATAGCTTCAGAATTTTATAAACATCGCTGTACATGCCCGTTGAATATGAAAGACAACAATTACTTTGGTTGTCATAGAAATGTTCTGAGAGCTAACAGTAACTAACTTGAGAACGTTACTAAAGGAATACTTTTACATTTTCTATGTGCTCTCACATTTCCTTGTTATGGAATCAGGCGGTAAAACTTCTTACCTGTGATAATCATGGGCCACTTGTCACGTGATCAGGTGATAGCATTCAGCAGTGGACTAACGGTCAAGAAAGCGACTCCCGGCTATTTGAATACTTGAATGAAAATAATAATCCACTGCGCACGGGGGTGTTTTCGTTACGTCACGAACAGGAGAATTATTCGTTTGATAAGTTCCAAAAATCTACCTATCAGAATTTTCGTAGGCGTTAGTTTGTAACGACACCCTCTAGTGGCTAAGATGAGAATCGACAGCCCACGAACGTTTTTACCGTCACTGAAACAGATTTTTTCCTTTACAACGTATTTCTCGATACGAGTCTTGTCACCGGAAGTAACAAAAATTTTGACACAACTTTATAAAAACTCAGGATACTATTCAACAGTTATCTCGGCTAAAGTCTGCCTTTGCTTATCTTACTGCTGAAAACCAAAAACTGAAGAAGTAAATAAAAAACGGGTTTTTATAATAGCAAGATTCATAAGTAAAACGCTAGAGTGAAAAGTAGAAACCAACTTTAATAATATTGACAACTGATTTCTCGCACACATTTTAGAAACTAGTGGCAATGTAGTTTACAAGGAATTATCTGTATAAATCTCAGTAAACCAACGATTTTTGCTTGCCAGAAATGTCCATAAAATAACACTGATAACGTCAGTTTACCGAGAATAATTTGACATAAAACATTAATTCTGTTTTATATCATCAAAAAACACTCTGGACGGTCTGAAGGAATGATAGTTGAGTTAAAAATATTTGTTTTTTACAAATAGTTTTTGCAATGTGCTCGTCAGAAAACAGCGTTAAAGAGGATTCGTGATATTCAGAAAAACTGGAGGGTTTGAATTTTTAGCTTCTGTGAACACGTCTTCAATATTAAGGCTTTCTAGATAGTACGTACTAACGTTGAGTTCGAATCTACTTGGAAGCAAAATGTTACCAATTGCCTTTTATATTTAAAAGTTCTGTTTTTGAGTAAATTTGCAAGAAATTATTACTTTCCTATTTAGAGACATAGTTCAACTGAGTAATTAAAAAAAATTGTTAGTTATAATTTTAAAAAAATCTTGTTTTCCTTTCCCCCTCAAATTACCCACATGTTGATTAAGTTTATGTTTTTGCCTCTTACAATACTGTCCCTCGGTGGGACAGCGCTAAGTTTACGGAATTACAACGCTAAAATCCGGGGTTAGATTCCTTGTGGTGAACACAGCACATAGCTCCTTGTGTCTTTGCTCTAAAAGATACAAACAAAGCTACAATACTCAATGTAAAGGACTGACCAGAAACAGATTAATTCATTCATTTGCTATGACAAATTAATAATAGTCCCCAGCGGTAATTACTGGATTAATTGCAGAATTAGTGATATTTTTGTTTAATTTTTATGTTATTGGTGACCCTTTAACCAACAAAGTCATGGAACCACAAGCGATTTGGTGTTTAAATAGTTTAGAAGAAGAGGTTTAAAAACTAGCGTGGACTTTATGGACCCCATCCGTAATTGTACGGTTAAAAATCCCAATTTTGTCTATAAGAATCGTGTTTTTTCATCTTTCAGATCATCTTTTTTTTTTGTCATTCTGTGATTTTCAGACGGTGAGAAGGTTTTCCATTATTTTATTGCAGTTATTGAATAACGTATTTGTCCATTTCTATAAGTAGGTGCGTTATCAACAACACGAACCTGAGCAAGTTATAGATGCCTTAAATATACGTATATACATATATATATTTTCATTATCTTTTAGAACAATTTCGCTTTCTGCAACGTTCTAAATCAGCTAATCTCTTTAATAACATTATTAAATTATAATACTCATTGTCATGTTTGTTTGTATGATATATGAACACCCAGTCTGCGGTTTGATGATACCGAATGCAGGGGAATGGGTAAGCTACAAAAGGGTGCCAAAAAAGTAACCAAAAAAAGTGTTTCGGTAAAAAGCTCGACCTACCCACCTAAAAAAAAACACATTTCACTACCAAGTGAGATCAATTCTCAATAGTGTTCGGCCACGAAGATGCGGAGTTTAGGGGTTGGTCGGACTTTGTTCCTCCTGCAGAAAATAGTAGAAGTGTTCATGTTCAAGCAACTCCAGCACTTAGCCACCTTACAGCCGCAAAAGTAAGCTTTGATGAACCTTCTTCGGCCATCTCTAACGACAGCGAAGAAAATGGCTTTTTAGAGCTGAGGAAACAGATTTTGTATTGCAGAACATGTGTGGCCACTACCATGTTTTTGTGTAAAATTTTGTATTGGGATATGGATTTATTCCTCATAGGCTGGAAACTAATGAAAGTTTGGCTACTGCTTGGGCTATTTAGATTCCAGATATCGCAAGTGGTTTAAATATCAAATCTCTATTCAGAATTATAAAAAAAAGAGGAGTACTAGAAAGCTTTGTTTGGGAATCAACCCTCCAAACATGTCTCCCTGACTCGCAAACTTGGTGTTAATATATATGAATAACACAAATAAAATTAAAATGGGATTTTATTCATACAAGTGAATAAAGCAACATTATAAAAAGTATGAAGATAAAAAAGTTAGATCCCTAATACCAGAATTAACAAGAGCAAGTGATTATAAGTAAACTTAGTACATAGATTAGAAATAAAGTGATTTATGGCAATATATACATAACTGAAGTATATTCTATGTGTCTAACTGACTGAAATTACTTAATGTTATAAATAATTACCCTAGAAAATTCATGATACAATAAATAGAAACTTACAGTTATACGATTTGTGTAGTTTTTGGTTCAGTGAAAACATGGCTTCCAAAATATTTCTGGTGAATCTGAAACACGATTGAACAAATGTTTACCTTAACTAAAGGCTATCAGAAACACATGAAACTTCACTCTTTGTGGTTAAATTGCTTATAACCAAGGCGGCATTAGCACTTATACCATTGAAAAGATTATAACACAGTGGACATCCGGACTAAACCACAATCGACTACCACAAATCTCGCAGCTGCTCTTGACGTGATATGACCTAAGGAAACTGATGTTGACCTTCATAAAAACTCCAAGAAATAACACCTACTGATATTTAGGTAATGGAGACAAGTATTGAGTCATATTGACGATTGTTTTATATATACACACATACAAACAAACATATATATGTATATACATACAAAATAAAAAACAGATACAAAAATTATATCTCGCAAACATCCATCTTAATAATGTTTCACGTACTCTACGTTAAGTATCTGCGTTAATTGTTCACGCATCTGTCTGCTAGTCTGTACGCATGTGTTAATTGTTCACGCATCTGTCTGCTAGTCTGTACGCATGTGTTAATTATTCACGCATCTGTTTGCTAGTCTGTACGCATGTGTTAATTGTTCACGCATCTGTCTGCTAGTCTGTACGCATGTGTTAATTATTCACGCATCTGTCTGCTAGTCTGTACGCATATGTTAATTTTCGATTCACCTGTCTGCTAGTCTGTACGCATGTGTTAATTATTCACGCACCTGCCTGCTAGTCTGTAAGAATGTGTTAATTATCGATTCACCTGTCTGCTAGTCTGTACGCATGTGTTAATTATTCACGCATCTGTCTGCTAGTCTGTACGCATGTGTTAATTATCGATTCACCTGTCTGCTAGTCTGTACGCATGTGTTAATTATCGATTCACCTGTCTGCTAGTCTGTACGCATGTGTTAATTATCGATTCACCTGTCTGCTAGTCTGTACGCATGTGCTAATTATCGATTCATCTGTCTGCTAGTCTGTACGCATGTGTTAATTATCGATTCACCTGTCTGCTAGTCTGTACGCATGTGTTAATTTCTACATTTCCTTTACCCTACATTCAAAAGTCCATTTATTCATAATTGTCTTTTAATCTATACTTATGCATTACTTTATTCATAACCTTATCTGTCTCTGTCTTCTTACCCTTCCAACTATCTGATAGGTTATACACATTGGTCCATTTATCGATTTACTTGCCTGTTAATCAATGTTCAAGATATCCTTTATCCAACCGTATCTGCTAGTTTATATTATCTTGTCCATTTATTTATATATATAATTGTATTTATATTTATCTATTTGTTAGTCTGTGTTGGTGGATCTAAATACCCATTTATCTGTTTGTTGTTTTATACTTATAGATTATGTTGTCAATCCATTTCTCTGTTTACTCCGTACTTATTAACCATTTATCTGTTCGTTGTTTTATACTTATAGATTATGTTGTCAATCCATTTCTCTGTTTACTCCGTACTTATTAACCATTTATCTGTTCGTTGTTTTATACTTATAGATTATGTTGTCAATCCATTTCTCTGTTTACTCCGTATTTATTAACCATTTATCTGTTTGTTGTTTTATACTTATAGATTATGTTGTCAATCCATTTCTCTGTTTACTCCGTACTTATTAACCATTTATCTGTTTGTTGTTTTATACTTATAGATTATGTTGTCAATCCATTTCTCTGTTTACTCCGTACTTATTAACCATTTATCTGTTTGTTCACCTACAGCCACGTAAACAATTATTTATCACTTCTCTATCAGTCTATATTCATGGATCCATCTATATTGTACCCAGTGGCTCAGAAATAAGCTTGAGGGCTTATACGATAAAAACTGTGTTTCGATACCTGTGGTGGGCAAAGCGCAGATAGCTCCTGTGTAGCTTGGGGCTTGAACATAAATGAACAAACCATTTATATATCAGCTAGTTTATACTCATCGTTTTACCTTTCTCGGTTTTGCCTCATATTTTAAACATAACAGTATGTCTGTAAATATATATATATATATATATATATTGCACTTCATGAAGTCCTTGAGAAACTAAACCACAGTAGAAATGTTGTTAATAAAGAAAGTAAAGAAATATTAATATTCATTAAGTGCTGTATTATTAATTTTTGTTTAATAACGTACCTGCTACTCCATGGTAATTATTTTGATAAGAAGAACTTACAAGAGGTAACCAAATATTTGATCAAACTTTATGACTATATATAAACATAGCCATAGTATATGACTTAATAGACACTTTAGAAAAAAGTTATATCTTTAAGAGGCTTTATCGGTGATCTATAAAACTCCAACTTGCTTA